TGTGAGTCGGCAGCATGCCCTGGCAGCCAAGAGGGCAAACCACCTCTGGGGTGCATCAAGCACAGCCCAGCCAGCCGGTCAAAAGAGGTGATTATCCCGCTGCATTCAGCGCTGGTGCGGCCTCACCTGGAGTGCTGTGTGCAGTTCTGGGCCCCACAATTTAAGAAGGCTGTGAAGGTCCTTAATAAAGGACCAATTAAGGACCTTCCTTAATGAAGGTCCAATGCCCTTAATAAAATGCTTTAACTTTTGGTCAGCCCTGAAGTGGTCAGGCAGTTGGACTAGATCACTGTAGGTTCCTTCCAACTGAAATAGTCTATTCTATTCTAATTTCATATATTTCCTGAATTTTATGAAGTCTGTCATTGGTGTAAATCGGTATACTGCTGAATGGCTTGGGGAGCTGCTTAAGATGGTGGTGTGTTTTTTTTTTTTTCTACCATGTGAATGATTTTTCTGGAAGGGCCGAGTCATTGGTTTGTGAGTCACTTGTGGTCTGTGACTCTCTGTTCCTCAGATTTTCATCAGTAATAATGTGTTAACTCTCTTTGATTATACCTACAGACACACTTTCACTTAATCTGAAAAATTGAAAACACCTTTCTTGTTTTGTTTTTGAAGGTGTATCTGACCAGTCTATGTGTTTTTTGGCTTGATCTTTGATGCTTTCCTCTGTTGTTACTATTGCTGACTTGTCTGACTTACTGGCTGGCTGTATATATTCCCATGTCAGGGGATTAATCATTGGCTAGAGAATCAGGACTTTTTATTGTTTCTGTCAGACCATCTGTGTGAATGATCTTTTACCCGTTTTTCTGCATGCAATCAATCTTGTATGACTATGAGCTGCTGAAATGAGTTTTATTTCTTACGGAGTTGTTGGAGTGCTCGCATTCATCCTGTGGTCAGCTAATTAAGTCTGAAATGATAGCTATTTAAATATGTGGTTCTTTTTTTCCTGTTCACCATTTTAGTATGTGGTCTATTGAATATGCCTTTGTATGACAAGAGCTCTCTGAAAAAGGGTTTTTGCTTTGTCAGAGTTGCAAAGTCCTATCCTCCTTCAGGTTTTAAGTTGCTTTCATGTATATACCTTTCTCCTCCAAGGCTTTAATTTTGAGAGAGAAATAGGACAGCATGGGGCTGTCATAGCCATTTCATTTTGAGTATCCTTTCTTAAGCTTGCAACCACAAAATTGGTATCAGCATTGTGGTTTACCCTTGCTGGTTTACTTTGCTCTTGCTATAACTCTCCTAGCTGAAAAAGCAAAAAGAAATGGAACTCTTAAGCTGTGCCTGTACAGCTAGGCATCTTAGCACTTTCAAAAAAGCAAGCTGGGAAAACATTACAACATAGGGAAGTTAGTGTACTAAAACTTGATGTGAGATTGTATGGATGGGGCAGGGTGCTATTTATTTGCAAAAAAATTAGTGGATTTTTCATGCATTCGCATGATCTGATGCATAGACTACATTGGCACACACTCTGCGACATACTCAGAAGCACCAACACATGTATGTCCAGATGGTGTGGCCAGGATCACTTGTATGCAACGCAGACGACAAGGGACGCTGGCTCTCAAGTCTTAATCGTGCTGCTGGGGTTCTTCATGGTGCTACAAACTAGTTTTTGGACAAGTCCATCATACCCTTCAGGAGTCATCCGCTGGTATTGGATAGGTCTTTGCTGTAGAAACTTGCTGACTTCAGGCTCCATAAATCTTGGGCAAAGTTGTTTCCTGGTTTGGGGTGTTTGATTTTGTTTTGTTTTTTTTTTTTTAACCTTTTTGTTATTGTATGTTTTTTTCCTTGTTTGAATGCGTGTTTGAAATACATGCCTAGGGTCTGTTTCTCTGTTGGGCCAACAAGCAAAGGAATCATGTTTGTGATACGCTGCCATCTCGTTACTCTCCTCCTGGTGCAGGGTCTTTTGCTGGTGAGTCATCTATGCTGTGGTCTTACCAGAGTGTAGACCTTTTGACCATGACATAAGGCAGCACATTTCTCAATTTCACTGCTGGGAATAGTGTCCTGAAAGCAATGTCCAGGGAATGGTTTCCTTCCTTACTGGTACAGGCTGGTCTTTTAACCCTTTGTTCTGCTGTTCCTTCCCGCGCGTGTGTGTACACACACTCACACTCTCTTACAGTCATACTGCAGTTGTGCCAATCTTAACATTTCTGTTAAAATTCTTGACAACAGTCATCTCCAAGATGAAAAATAGCAAGTAAATCTTAAAGGAATTAAAAAGAAAAAAGTGCACATTTTTGTGGCAGACTGTTCAGACTGAATGTTAACAGCTGCAGTTTAAAAGGAAGAATGTATGTTTGACAGGGGGAGAAGTTGAAAACCTAACTTTCCCACGTTTCTAGGGCTGGCTTGCTCAGGAGGAGTTTTGGAAGGTTTTCTGTACTTCGCATGCAGTGAGATCCTCCTCTGCTGCCTTATTCCAAACTTCCCATCTGGTTTATTTATTCAGTAGAACTCCAAGTGCTGGATGCATTCTTCTCTCTGGAACTGTTTCTAGATGGACAGTCTTACTGCCTTCCTTAATAAAAACAATCCTTTGCTCTTGAGTAACTTTCTTGCAATCTGCAGCATTTTCCAGGCATTACATCTCTAAATTGCACATAATGAAAAGTATTTGCTTTATATGCAACCAGTTTGTTATAGAGACCATTGTATGTCATATTAATAACACAGATGACAGGCATGGGTTTGTGTTTTTTTCTTTTTCTTTGGTAAATAGTTGTCTCACATACTTTTGTCAGTGGAGGGTCCTGATATCAGAATTGGTCAAGTCTATTGAACTGACTGCTATAAAAAGATTTAATTCTAAGTGCTGAAGTCAGCTGTGTAGTCTGCCAGGGGATATGATGTTTTCTCACCTTGTTGCTTTCCCTCTTTCTTTCCCTCTCTCTCCCTCTGTACTTACAGGTTGTCCTAACATTTGTCTGTGTGTTGATGAAGGAATCTGTAGAAATTGCTCCAGTGCCACATACACTGCAAATCCATCGGGTAGCTCTGGATGGAAGAGACCCCTCTAACCCCTTGAGGAGAGAGAAGAGGCAGGTGCAGTGTCAACTAGGACAATACCTACATCCCAGAGAGACCCACTGCTGCATGAGGTGCCATGCAGGTACGTAAAATAAGTACAGTAATAGTGACCTTCACCTTAGAGGCATTTGCCTGTCCTGCACTCCCAAACTGTCTCTGTCCTACAGCTACATCAATGCTCCCTTTCCTTGGTACCTATCCCTACCCAGATAAATTCTTATTTATTGTCTCTCCTTGTCTCTCCTTTTGGGCTGTCAGCGTCCTTCACACTGGTGAGAGGAAGCATACTCGATCCTTATGCCATCAACTCCAGGGTTTCTCTGAGGAATCAATGACTCCCATTCTCCCCAAGGCAACGTATTTGTCTTCCTATCAGAGCTCTGTTAAGTGATTTTTTTTCTTGCAGGTACCTACAAGGCAAAAGACTGTGATCGGCCTGATCAGGCACCTGTCTGTCTCCCATGTGCTAATGGCACATTCACAGCTGTTGATAACACCATGTCTAAATGCTTCCAATGTACACGTTGCCGTACGGGTGAGTTGTCTACACGACCTGAGGAAAATGGGTGGTAGTGGCAGGTGGAGGGCTGGAGGGGATGGCAAGGTGAGCGAGGAAACTTGTAAAGTAAGCAATTGAATGGGCAGAAGGACAGTGTACGGGAAGGGATTGGGGACAGCAGGAATAAGGGTTACCAAATGACTACAGTCTGAGACACAGTTTGCAGGCCTTTTTGGCCTTTCTCTGGGAAGATTAGGGGGTAGCAATACCTGTCATAACAGTGCTCTCAGCTGAAGGTGAGGGAAGAGGTTGAAATAATTGCTTTTCCTTTCCTCAGAATTCCAGCAGATAGTAGAGACCCCCTGCACCCTAAAGCAAGATACCGTATGCGGCTGTCGGAAGAATCAGTATCAGATTGGCCTGTCCGATCTCTTCCAGTGTAGGAACTGCAGCTCGTGTGTTAATGGGGTTATAGCCAACTGTGAGTATGGCATGGATATGGCTCCAGTACGAACATACTGTACTAGGGTAGACATTAGCAGCCCTCCATTCGCTTTCTGACATGCTGCAGCACCTTGCCCTGACATGATTGTAGTTTTGGAACAACTCTTGGTTTTGACTGTCCCCTTTCCCCAGAAAGACTGCCATTTTTTGCCCACCTTGGCATCAGTCCCTGTTTTCTATCACAGTTTCTACCTTCCTTAGCAAGCTCTTTATGTTCTAGAGCAAATTTCCCCCTTACCTTCCTTTTTTATCTTTGCATGGATATTTCTCCTGATGCTCATTGCATTTCCCTCACCAGTTGCTGGAAGCACTTTGTGTACAATGGCTAAAAATACCACTGGTCCCAGCGTATGATGGCTAAAAATACCGCTGGTCCCGGTGCCCAGCTGAACTGCTTGTCAGTTGGTTGCTGAACCACCACAGTGTACTGTGCAGTGTTTTAAACTAAAGAGCTGCTCAGGTAATGCTGAACTGTACCCAGTGGCATTGGGTGTGACCTGGGGATGGTGCACAGTGTCTGGGAGAAGTACGCATGTTAGCTGTCCCAAGCTGCCTCATCTCCAGTCAGGAATCAGATCTTAACCAAATACTGCTTGCCGCCCTCCATTTTGTGCTGTTGTCTAATTCTGTTCATGTCTGTAAATGTTCCTTACCTTGTCCTAAAGCTATCCCCTCTTCTTTGGGAATTCTGCTTCTCCTGATCCCTTTGTTGTCTCTTACCCTGCCTAGTGTGAGGTGTGCTGTCTCACTGGTCAATATGTTCCCTCTGGTGCTCAGTAACCTTTCTGTCAGTTTCCGTGCTTATGCCTATCCTCAAGGGTCATCATCATACGCTGCCCTTAAGCAATTTCCTTCCCTCTTGGCTGATGTAGCACTGTTTTAGTCCTGTCCCTCACTTGCCACAGAATGCATGCTGCTTGTTCTAGTACCTTTTTCCCTCCCCTCATGCAACTTTATGTCCTTCCATCACTATTCGTGTCTGCTCCTCCCCACACCTGTTTTACTCAGTCTCCATACTGTGACTTGCTTAGAAGCAATAGCTCTTTCATTTCTTACCCTTTCCACTCGCAGCATAGCAGATCGCAAGAGTGGATATGTGTCCCATGGCTTGAAGTGATTTCTCCCTGCGCTGCCCCGACTTCCTCACCAGTCCCAGCTGCTCAGGGACCACTTCTCCCTCATCTTTGCCTGACTAATGTGATTTCCCCTTCCTGTCACACTTGAACTTGAGTGACTTTCCCCACTTTTGCACTGGAACTGTCATTATCCATTAGACGAATTTCAGCTGCACTGTAATTTTAGTCCCTTTCCAAGCCTCTACAGAGGTCCTTGACCTACCAGGACAGTGGTACCCTTTTTTTTTGTTATTTTTATCCTCCCCTAACCCTGTCCTCAAACATGGACTGAATCCTCTTTCTCCAGTAGCAGTTCTTCAGGCTCAGAGAGGGATAATCTCCCACCATCTTGGAGTGGATTTTTCCCCTTTTGTTGTCTTCTCTGTCCAGATTATCACAATGGTTTCTTCTTTTCTCTACAGGTTCAAAGAACAGAGACACAATTTGCAGGTGTAAGCCTCGATTCTTCCTGACACTTAGTAACATTTGCAAGCCTTGCAACAGGTGAGCTGTTTTCCTCTGTATGCCCTTCCACTGAGTAGGAGAGACAGCAGACACAAGCCCGACAGGGGAAGGAAATATTTCTCAAGGCTCTGTCCCTCTTGACATAGCTTTAGAACATTCTGCCTTTCTGGGGCAATTGGGTTTTCCCCTCTGCCACCTCCGGTCTTCTCTGTGTGTAGGTATCAACCCACTAAGAACCCAAAGTCACTAGCCACACTGCATTTCTCTGCTTTGCAGGCTTTTCTTGACTTCTCTGTTACTTAGGATTGTCACAGATGACTAATGTTTCATTTCATGCATGCTCACCTCTCTGATTTGCTTTTTCAGCTGCATTGGAGAAGAATGCCTGCAGTGTCATAGCCCAGTGACTACCTCACCAACTTCATCTGGGCTGAGTGAGTACTGAGGGAACTGGGGGACAGTGGAATCTTTTCAGTGTGGGCTTTTGTTCTGTTAATGCCTTTTGTCAAGTGTTATTTTCTTCACCCACTTACCTACCTACCATTTGCATGGCTTCACTTGCTGTTATTCCTCTAGCACTTACCTCTTCCTTCCTCAATCACTCACTCAGTTGCCCTTTTCCTTTTGTCCAGATGGGAGCCTTGTCCTTGGCATCATCGTTGCAATATTTGTAGTTATCTCTGTCCTCTACATTGTAAATAAATTAGTGAAGCTGGTCCAGGAAAATGGGATAGTGTCATCTTTCTACTCCTGTGGTGAGTACAGCAGCACATGCAGTGATATTAATTGGGATAGACATCATGTGTGTTTGTGTATTGCACACATGTGAGGGGAAAAAGTGGGATTCCAATACTCTGCTTTCCTGCAAGGGCAGAGGAACATGAGAATTCAACAGCTAAGCTTATTGGTGCAGTTCTTACAACTCTGCATCTGTGCCCATAGCTGTGACTGGAAGTGCATGTGAGCTCGTTGCTGGGAGATGTGCGTTTTGCTATAAAACCTTTTTGAGGGAAGGATTATGAATAGCTGCTTTTTCTGTCTGGGAAGAGAGGAAGTGAAAATAATTTCTGCTTTTTTTTTTTCTTTAAAGTTTCTTTGCCACAGACAACCAAGGAGCCAGTATCTGAGGTGAGCAAGATAATGGGTAATAAGAGCTTTCCTTCCACTTTCAACTGTGCTAGCCTGGGATCCAGAGTAACATTTTTCCCCATGGGCTGTTTTCAGGCCTTGTATTTTCAAATGAGCTGAGTAATAGGGCTGTTTAATTCAGAAGTCTTTTCCTATAGACGGTGGAGCCATTAACATTTTACTTCCCCTGTTCTAGAGGATGCTTTACAAACTTCTGGCTTTTTGCTCTTTTCTTTCTGGATGCATTTTTTTCAGATAGCTGGTTGTTAATCCCTTTTTCTCCCTATATACCCCAAGCATGGAGGATTTAACTAATTTTACTTCACTTCAGATCTTGACCCCACAAGCCTCTCAGTGCTACTTCACAGTGTTCTCTCAGGTCCGGTGTTGTTCTGCAGTTAAGAGGGTCCAACAATAGTTGAGGTGGGGTTTCCACAGCCTTGCAGAGAAGGCTGATGGGAAAGGTGGCATGTGGAGCTTCTAGAATGGTAGTGATTTTGGGTCTCATCCTTACTTGATTTTGCAAAGAAATATTTTTTCCAGACTAGTGTTTTTTGATGCCAAAAGAGAGTTAAACTCCTTGGGTTCTGCTGGAAATAAATGTTTGGTGCCTTCTGTCAAACAAGGCTTATAGGAGGAATTAAAACCTCAGCACCTGCTCCCCACCTATCTTGGATAAATTTTAGTATATAAAGCTAGTGGTTCCTTGCAGGAGACAGGTTATTGTGCTGCTGCGGCTGATTCTGACTAAGAAAACGTGTCTTTCAGGTTGAGGTAAAAAGAAATGAAATTTCCATCCTTCTTCCCGAGTCCCAGAAAGAAACAGAATTGTCAGTGAATGCAACACCACCACCTGCACCTCTGCCACAGAGTTCACATGAGTTACCAGACTGTGTCAGACCTGCCAGAAAGACACAGCTTCCAGACAGTAAGTGAAACTGCCCCATCCTTCCCTCCTTCCCCACGCAAACGAGAACCTGATGATGCAGATGCGGCTAGGAGGATGTTGGACAGACCTTACCCGGTGTACGTGACCTGTGTGTATACTTCACGCATGGCACAGTACAAAGGCAGAAGCATGCCCAGAGCCTGTGAGCCTGTACATGCTAAACATTTACACAAGGCCTTTCTGTTGTCCCTTTTCCCTATGAGTGAAATGGATTGTCCTATGTGGTGACATGCTGTCAGTCTTAATGCCTCTGGGATGGTGACCCAGAGCATTCTTTTGTCAGGAATGTGTGGCAGCTCTGCTCATAACCTTACACAAGAGCATATGGAAGCATTCGCATTGGTTTTTGAGGGATAAAAGCTAGTCTGGACATCACACAAGTCTGTGTGGCTACTCTGTAGAAGACCTGAACAGGAGAGGGCAATGCACGATCCCAAGGCACCATCCAGTGCTGGATTATTCACATTCTCCTTGAGGCTGCAGAATCCTGGTTCTCACGCTTTATTTCTTCTCTTTTCACAGACCCTGCTATTCTCTACACTGTGGTGGATCACGTACCGCCATCTCGGTGGAAAGAGTTTGTGAGGCGTCTGGGTCTGAGTGACTATGATCTAGAGCGAATTGAGATGGAGCATCGGCGTTTACGAGATGCCCAGTATGAAATGCTTAGACTGTGGAAACTGCAGATGGGCCATGCTGCAACTGTGGAGCACATTAGCTGTGTTCTCAACCAGATGGAGCTGAGTGGCTGCAGTGAAGCTATTCAGGAGGCTTTGCTAAACCAGAACTCTCCGCAACCTTGCAGCCTCCACAGCCATCTTTAATCTACTTCTGCTTTAGTTGCCCTTGCTGTGACTGTTAAGAGAGGATCATAACTCGCTTCCTTTCCTGTCTTCCTTTTCCCATACCTCCATATCTTTCTAACACTCCTTAACTGGGTTTGCTGGAGACAGCAGCAGATGATGCTGCAGGAAGGCTGAGGTTTGCTTCTCAACCACCATGTAGTTGAGCATCTTTAAACCAAGACAGACCTCTGCAACAACTCCTTTCCCAAGGAGGGAAAGCACCTTATAAAGGAAGTGGTGTGTGGACTCTGACCGAGATGAAAACAGGAGCTCTGGGTGACTTGATAGCTCAGCTACTCTATGGACAAGTTGTTGCTGAAACAGGTGCTCCACCCACCACGTGGTGGGTAAACTTGTAGGGTGACTTGATTAAGCTGGCTGTTCAGATGGTAAAGTACTCGCTCACTTTTTTGCAGATCTATTTTTTCTGCAAGATCAGACAGTGGAACTGGCTCACATTGCAGCCCTTTGATTGCTAAATCTGACTCAAGGGAAGTGGTGGGAGGACGTGCCTGTTTCTGGGAGCAGGAGAGGATTGCCCCCTTTTGGTATCAACTAGTTATCGCTGGGGCAAGAGAGTCGCGGAGATTCAGAAGCGGTGGCTCGGTGAGAAACGGGAGGACGATTTATCCTTTCCACACCCCCACGTGCCTTAGTTTTCAAGAGGAATAAGGATTCCGAGTCAGTGAGTCAGATGAGAGGGTTGGTGCTTTTTTCTGAAGTTTATTGTTCTGTACCATGTAAGATAGCATTAACAAAACACCTGCCTGTCTGTTTGTCCAAGTGCAGAGGGGAAAAGGAATGCACGCATCTGCCTGGGTGAGAGGGCGCCTATGTACCTAGTAGCGTGAGCACCTCTGCAAATCCATGCTTCCATGCAGGTCGGTAGGCTTGTGTCTACCTGCTTATCTATCTCTGAATGATTTGCTGAATTTCATCTAACTGCAGATGGGACTGTGTATGTGTACATATATATATATATTTTAGCAACTTCACACTACTTTCTGGACTGCGTTTGATTGCTACTTGGGTGTGAGAGCCATTCGGTACCATCTCCAGGCTCTCACCATCACTTTCTCATGGGTGTTACCCTGGGTGAAGCAGAAGTAGCAAAAATCAATTAGCCTGCATCAGGTGCAGGTTGTCCACACATTTGTAACGTGGATTTTTTTTTTTTTTTAAGTCTCTGGTCCGTTGACCAGAGAGAAACCTTCTACTGTAAATACACTAAGTGCTCTGAATTAAAATTCATATTTTTACCTCTGCCTCCATTCTGGTTTTGTCCATATCAACATCTCTTTTGTGGCTGTGAGTGGGGGCAGAGAAAGGGGAATTACTTCCCGAAGTCGCAAGAGTGGGCTGCAAGAGTGGGTGGGTTGATGGTCTGATGAAATTTTATTTTAAAAACAAGTTTTATGAACTTTTGTAGGTAACGCTTAGCCACCCTCAAGTCACAGGAAGCTGGCTAAGGGCAGGAAGTAGGACTGAAATTAAATTCGGCTGCAAGTCTTCTCAGATATTCAAGAGTCAAAGGGGATGCTAGCATATTCAAAGTGAACTTTAAAGCAACATACAATGAGTCATTTTGATTTGTATTTGGCTTTTTAAAGAGGAAAACATCTTTAAATAAAAGAATAATAATAGACTATACTTTAATACTAATCTTGGAGAGGCATGTTTTTGTCTGAGGAACCAAAGTGATGTGTTAAGACAGTGAGGACCGTTCCTACTCTACCGATGAGAAAACTTGAAACTGAAAAGAGTCCAAGTTCACAATAGTCAGTGACAAAGCCAGGAGCTGAAGCGAATTTTAATCCCCAGTTTGAGGCTTTGTTTTGCTATGCCTACATACTATTTTAATTGAGGATGATTTTTTTTTTTTTTTTAAATCAAAGGAGATAGTACGAAGCTCATTGTAATACACTTTTGTCTTTCGTAATTTATGTTCAACAAGCACAGCAGTACGATAGCTACTGGAAATATATGCTCTAGATGTAAAAATGTGCTTAAAGTGGGGAAGTTCTCAGAAATGTTCTCCAGGTATGATATTTAAAACTGTCCCCCCCCCCCGACATCAAACCGTGTAATCAATCATTTAAAATCCAGGTATTTCACAGTTGACCGTGCAAGGTAAGCCACAAGCAGCAGGCCCCAGGCCGCGGCTTGGTCGTCAGTGACTTCATGCAGCACTTCTACGGCAATCCATGACTATGAGGCGTCACACAGAGCGCTAAAGATCTCTTCAAGGTAACGAAGGTGACTTGGGCAGGTAATACGCGTGAATGTGAAAGCGGAGGCTCCTCACGCTGCCAACACAGCGGCCGCCAGAAAAACGGCACTTTGAGCTGTTTACATAATTTCATTTTTAATTACTCATTGAGTGTCTTAACTCCGAAAGCGATGACGCCCGTACGCACGACGTTTCGCTCTTAAAACGCGTGGGGCCG